TCACGGGCATTCCTTAGACACCTCAGTTAAAGTTAGCAATCTATACTCATTCGGCACCGTCAACAGCGTGTTTCAGCTCACCCAAATTGTTTTGTCTCAACAGATTTATAGAGGAGAAGTTTGCAACTTCTTCAAAAGGCACAGAGGGGTGAAAACTACCTGGTAAAGAAACATTATCGTTTGGGTCTGGAAAACTACATCTGTTCACAGTGTGATGTATAGCAGGAAGTTAAAAACAGTCATCTCACTCTAAAAGGGGGTTGAAACATGAATATATAACTTAGATGCAGTTAAATACATTTACACTTTGAAAGTATGATTATGTAACTACCTAAAAACTAAGTGGTTTTTTACAGGGTATTACATAAAGCTGAAAAAGCAGATGTTCCCCTGACAGTCTGTTTGTGATCTGAACATGAGTTGATTGCTGTGGTTTACATGCAGAAAGCATAAAACATGCCAACACAAAACAGAATCGCGTATCAGCATTGATACTGCTGTTGTAATTTGTAGTTTAATCAACCGCTGTTGTAATTTGCAGTTTAATCAAACTATCTTCCAGGAAAAAACTCTAGTACACAGTATATTCTAGAGTTACCTTATGATGAGGGTTAACGTTAAGCAGCAGAGGTGGGATCATACTAACAGCCTCCTGACGACTGATATTTCCCTTGAAAGGAAAAAACAAAACCAGAACAAACTCCTTTTTATTCCATTTCAAAAGAATGCATTTCTTTTGCAATAATTTTTTTAAATATCTATGTAGTAAAATGACAAAAGAATTGAAGACACGCTCTTATAAACTTAGGATTAAATTTTGTTAGCATTTAACAAACAAAATCACAGTATTTCACCCAATTGAAATTTCTGATAATTGCATATTTACTCCAACTTCATTCATTCTACGGATGTAGTTTCTGCTCAAGAGATGAGAAACTGGCTTCAACCAAGTAAGAACCACCCATCGCTGAAGGTAAGTCTTGGTATGTAAACACACGCGCTTTTTACCAGACTCAAACATCTGTTTTCTAACAGCAACTAATTATTTTACAGGGACTCATTTTCACATTCTCAAACAACAAAAAATTGCAATTAGTTTAGGAGAAAAATTTGTAACTGCGGTTATGTGCCAGAATCATGGGATGACAGAGTCACCGTCAACAGCAACATAAAATCCAGATTCTTCTGAGCTACTCAACTTCTGAGAGAAAAGCTGCAGTCTCAATTTCTCATAATGCATTTAAATAAAACACTACTCGGGGGGGGGAGTCAAGATCAATCTAAAACTTACACATTCTGTCTCGCTAACCAGAAACTGATGAAACTTTTCCAGCTGCGGTGACTTGCGTAAGATTTTTCTACTCAAGTTAGTGTGCCAGGCTAACTCCTCTGGATACCTGGGGGAAAAGAGACGGAAAAAGGGCAGAGGCAAAAGAAAGAAACCAACCAATTCGTCCGGCTCGATGTCGGGAATATGCAGGGCGCCTTATTTCCCTTCCAGCTCGCTTACCAGCTCAGGGACTGCGGCATTTCGACTTTTTGGCCATCTACCTCTAGGTTCTGCAGCTCTTTGAAGTACTTTTCCTTCAAGCAGTGGAGAATCTCTTTGGCGTGACTGCAAGGGAGAGAGACCCGCAGAAGCGACCGGATC